AGAAAAGATGATTCAGAAAACTCACCTATAGATACCACAGTCTCCAAAACATGTTTAGTTTGTGAACAAATCTAGTCAGAAGCTAAACTTTCAAGAAGAATAACTTTGATTCATAGAATTTTGAAGCTGGAAGCTACCTGGAGCCATATCTTCATTTTATGGGTGATGAAAGGGGGAATCCTGATTAGTAACTGCCTTCCCCAGGGGACACTGAGACAGAGGAAGAAATTGGAATGGAATTCTCATACAAATGATATTTCCAGTTATTTTTTCACAAGGAACAGGTCAGACTAAGACTTTGTTAGTATATTGCACAAGCTTATTTTAATTCATTCAACAGATACTTAGGGAGGCCTCTCTGTGCCAAGGAAAAGAGAAATAAAGATAAAACTTGGTTCCTGTCTTCAAGGAGCCCACCTTCTCGAAGGGGAGAGGGAGGAACAAGCATGAAGTATGATGTCAAGTATAATGTCTGCGGAGTGATCGCACATGGCAGGTAGCAGTTGAAACTAACAATGACTGGAAGGTGATAGGTCGTGCTTTATTGACCATCTGAGTGAGTATGGGCCACTTAAGCTGCGTTGTCTGCAAGACTATTTCATTTATTAGGCTAATGCTTCTGTCTCCCAAATTATTTGCTAGAGTAATGAATTTTTAGATAGAATATATTTAGGAATTGCTTTGAGCCCTGAGAATATTGGCCTTTCGCTGTAACTTAAACACTTGAGACCTGGATTATAAATGATACCATGGACAGAGGAGCTTGGTAGGCTATAGTACATGGGGTCGCAAAAAGTTGGAAACGATTGAGCAACTAATCCTTTCATTTTCAAATGATACTTAAATCAGATCTAACCATTCTCAAACTTTTGTTGTATCTGTATATTCCCTCATTAAGCAACTGATTAATATCTACCACGTGCCAGGCACTGAGCTTCTTGCTGCCAAGATTATACCTAAACACCACAAGGAAGTATAAACTTGAAAAGTTAACCAAAAACCCCTCAGTCTTCTGGAGGTGAAAGAAAATCTATGAAAGTATTTGGTACTGCCATGCTGTGTCTGCTAGAGTCACCCTTCTTTGAAGAAACCCTTTAGGGTGTGTTTCCTTAACACACAACATACAGGAGACATTAGTCAACCTGGTGAAGTCCCAAATGGACTTTCATTTCCAGAGTGTATGATAAGTATGTTTTCCTTCCTCACGGATCACGAGAAACTGGAAGTGGAGGGAAAGCTTGAGTCATTGATAGGAAGTCATAGCTATTCGCTTGTGTGTGTGGTTCATCAGAACGTTTAGGTTTTCCCAGGACTGGCTTGTTAATGGCTGAACGAACTAAACGCCAATCAGGAGCAAATCACTTTGTTTCCCATGAATATGTCCACTTCTGTGACCTAGAGCCTTCACTCAAATTCCATCTATTTAGGGGGGAATTCGGGAACAATAGATTAATGGCATTAATATTTCTCTCTTCACCTCCTGGAGGGCTGGTATTTTTCAGAAGGGGACTTCAGTGTGAAACTCACCCCTCTTAAGCTTTCAGAAACCTGTCTTCTTATTTAAAGATTAGATTATCCTTCTCCCATTGTTTTCCATTAGATTTTGTTTCCTTTCTCCTTTTTGGGGAAGGCCAGTTCACTATTTTTAAAAGGTGATGGACCATGTCAGGATTTAGAACGTGAAAGGAAAGAGATTGGTTTGGATTTTCTCACTCTCTTTGTGTGCTCCAAAGCTCAATAAACTTCGAATGGCGACTGCAGGTATAGGGGTAGAGGAGAGCTTTTGTATCCTTAGAAAATGAAGGTTTCAGTTGGATTATAGAGGTAGTCAAGAGATAGGGAGAAAAAGTTCAAATAGCACTTTGACTACTTTCCATGTCAATGGATCTGTATCAGCCATATTCCACTGCCATAAGAATCAGCATGTTTAAGTATTGATAAAAAAAATTTTAAAGAGCACAATATCAGTTATCAAAAAATTGGATGAGTTTGTTGTAATGAAGACAGGACTGTATGTAGTTTATATTCAAGTTTATGAATTTTTCTGAATACTGAATAAATTGTCAAAACTGTACTGAAGCTCTATGTGAAAGGATCAGTCCAAACTGTTAATCTGCCTGGTACATCTTTTTGTGGTTTTTTTTTTTAAGACTCTAAGCAAAAAATTTAAGCTCTTTCCAGCACAACTGTGTAGATTCATTGGGACTTGGCAATATTCACATATGGTGTAGATCTACTGTTACTTTTCTTTAGAGCAATTTACAAAATAACAGTGTATAGCATATCTAAAGCAAGGGGTAAAACCAAGATGTGCAATTTTCATCACAGGTTTATATAATAAGAGGGAATTTCTTTAGTCTACACTTAAGACATGAAACTAAGCAACGGCCATTGGTCAATATTTATCAGTGTATATGCTTCCTCAGTTTCTTTACCACTTAATATTTGTTTCTAGAGCAGAGTTGCCTATGGCTACTCAATATTAATATTAATATTATTAAATAATTATAATAATATAATATAATTAATATTAATGTTAATAAAATATTAATTGATTAAAATTTTCCAACTTCAACCACTTGACTTTCGAGAAGTGGGGGATTTTTGTGAGAGACAAGAATCAGGGAGTTAACAGCCTTGAGTTCACAGCCAGTGAGTTTGCTTTTTTAACAGTCACTTAGCACTATTCACTTCTAAGCACTTAGCCTAGCCCTCCCTTTCCCAGGCAGTTGTGCATATCAGAAATGACTGGGAAGGGACTTCCCTGGCTTCTGATCCAGTGGTTGAGATTTCATACTTCAATGCAAGGGACACAGGTTTGTTCCCTGGCCGGGGAACTAACCTCTCACATGCCACACACCTCAGCCAAGAAAACTTTTTTAAGAAATGACTGAGAAAAATAATGTTATCCTGTGCGTCAGGAACTGAAGACAACACACCTAGCCAAGACTAAGGGATGACTAAATGAGCTGTGGCACTATCATTTTTTTGTTGGAATGACTCTCCAATTTGGAGATATAAATGTGTATAATAATCTGTTATCACATAGTCAACACTGCCCATCATTCTTTCTCTTCATGTCTTTCTCTTTGGGTCCACATATGGATTAAAGGGAGGATAAATTAATTAACTATGCATAATTACCGAATTCTCCAAACACTCGCAGACTTTACCCATTGGAAGCAAAAGCAGGCTGTACATCGCTTGTTGTCAGTGTAGATGGTAGATAGGCATCATCTATTGTAAATCTATTCCCACAGCGGGATTAAGTGAATTCAAATTCAAATTATGTAGCCACAATATGCTGTCCAATGTGAAGCTTTGTAAAAATTCCTCATTGGGAAAATGGAATAATGCTTTAAATACAGGATATTTGCCAAAATTATACTTACCACCAGGTGCATTTAGGTATCGAAAGATAATGAATTTAGAGAATATGGGACTTATACAACTTTTAAAGTTTTGTGATTGGGTAATTCTGTTATTTGGCTAGAGGTATTAATTTAATTAAATGTACAAGAGGACTTTCTCCCAATACCCAGAAAAGAAGATTTGCATTTCAGAAAATTATCACAGCTTGTTATATAATTGCAGCCGCTGGGGCTGGATGCCTTCAACAATGCCCCAAGTTTTCTTCTGTCTCCTGCTTCCAATGGTAATACACCTCCCCTTCAAAGCCTCCCAGCCTATCATTTCCTGCGACTCACATCTTCCTGTAAGAAGCAAGTTTGTGGGCTCATTAAGAGAAAACTTAGAGGGTTCACTCCACATTAATCTAATTGGACGTTTTTGAGCAGGACAAGAATAATAATGGGATTAATTATTGTAATTTGTGCAGCTGAAATATACACATAAATAGGCAACCTGTATTTCTCTATATTGCGGGTGGAAGATGAATTTCAGACATTAGGACCTGGGAGAGCTGGGAGCTGCAGCTGCGGAGTGAGTGCCCCTCCCATGGTTCTGGCCAGCAGCCCCGACATCTTTGCACAAAGTAATCACAGATCACAGCATTTAATCACCGAAAACAAGCACTCCAGAGGACAGCAGTGTCAATATCCCACTCTCTCATTATCTGTTTGGATTGCACATCCACACTGTCAGATAAACAGAGTGGAAAATTAAGATTAAAAATATGGTAATTTCATTTCAGGCAGCAGGCACCACTCACTGCCCCTATTATGCTATTGATTACCTCTGAATTCAATTTTTCTTTCAATGCAAACTTTAATCTGTTTGCTACCCAGCAATTCAACTCCCCAAGGGCTATTTGAGAGTAAGTAACCATTTAATCTGATGCTAACTGAAAAATCACCGTCCTTAATGAATTGTGTAAATCATTCAGCTCTAAAGCACCTTTGACTTCTATTTCATTTTTTATTTTCTACTCAATATAGGAAAGGATCGGCGTGTGAATAATTACAAAGTAGCAAGTATTTTTACATAGAGCAAATATGATAAAAACCCTATTATAGTGGGGCATGTGTAATGAACAGTACTTTTTAATTTCAAAATAGCTATTCATTAAAAAAGAATGGAAGATTAAAAAGAGAGGCTCAAAGCTCAAGGTAAAAGTTGATAGACATTGTAATTACATGGTTAATTTCAAAGATTTATATGCTGTTATGATTTAAAAGGAATTTTTATGACCTGACATTTTCATTGGAGAAGATTTTTTATTTAAAATTAATCTTCGAGCTCCTATTCTTAATTATTTCTTGGCAAGCGATAAATGGGAATACAAAAAAAAATGTCCTATATCAAATTTTAAGCAGAATAAATGCAGGCGAATTTTCGAACAGGAGTAAAGTGGTTTTTACTTATTTGAATGGCTTTACATTGAAATCCCAGGTTGAAGGAATTTGTGGGAAAGAGCTGGAAATCATTGGCCCATTTAAGGGCACAGCAATCTGACTGCAATGCAGCATTTATGACATTTCAAAATATAAAATTGGAGAGAGGGTTTTGCTTCAGTGATTTGATTGTCTTTCAAGCCGGCGTTAAGAGTTTGCAACAGGTCTTTTTCGCGGCTGGTCCCAGACCCCGAGGGCTCCCTCGGAGCGAGGGTAGGGGGTTGAGCCAGCCCGGCCTCCCTCTTCCATCCGCGCGGGAGGAGCGGGAGCCGGAGCCCGGCGCTCGTCCGCGCCAGGTGGCACCTCTGCGGAGACTGGGGTGGCGGGGAGGCCGGCCGCTCCCCGCAGACCAATGACACTGCGCTTCCCTATGGCGAGCCCCACCAAGTGCAGGGCCGCGGGGCGGGGGTCCTGATTACCCGGCCTCACTGGCACCGCGCGGCCGCGGAGGGTGGTGCGCAGGGCCCGATCGCGGACTGGGAGGTCTCTGTAGCCCACTGCCCCCATCCCCCTGCCCCCGCGAGGTTGTGACCTGGGCGCCCCTCACTCGCTCGCCTCCTTGCGGGGGACCGCGGCTGCCAGCGAGGCCGCTGCCGAAGTTTGGGGACGAAGACTGCATGTCATCTCGCTTCTCCTTCTGGCGTGTCCACGCTCCACCGGGGCGGGGGGACTTGAGGCCCTGCTTCCCCATCTGCACCTCCACTTGCTGCTCCTCCGCAGGTTTTGGTCACGGCCCCTGGCTCCCCACTTCTGCCTTCGTCCCAGCACCTCCCTCTGGCGGTGGGGGGTCCTGGGCGCTTGGGGAGCGGGTACCTAGGAGACCAGGGGCGGGGTGCCTAGAGAGGGGACTGCTGTTGGAGAGCAGAGGGAAGCAAAGAGCAGGCAGCGATTGCATCCTCCAGGCCCAGGAGGAGAGAAGTTGTGCCCTCCCCGGGCGAAAGGGGGACCCCGAGGGAACGCGGGGACGCGGAAACCGCAACTGCTGGGGCGAGCTGGCAGGGGCCATGGTTATTCGCCGCGCCTCCGCCTTCCGCGGCCACTGGGCCTCCGACTCGAGCTCGGGCTGCGGCGGCCGTGCGTCCCAGGGCCGCCCGTGGTCTGTCTCCAGGCGCTTCCGAGGTTTCCCTTGCCTGCGCTCCGCGGCCCGCGGCCAGGCGTGGTCCAGCCCAGGCTCTATGGGTCTGCGCTCTGGAGCCCACATCTTCACCGAGGCTCTGCTCTCGAAGCAAGCACATCACTTCCCGGGGGGTGGGGAGGACCGGAGAGAGGGAGCAAAGACAGCGCGAGCACCTGAGCCAGAAAGTCATCTCAGCTCCATCTGAGCTTGCCCTTTGGCTGTGACTCCGGGTAATTTAAGAAGAACCTGCACAAAGTTCGGGGCCGGGGAGGAGTCCCGGGGTGGAATACAAAAAAGTCAGCTATGCCGGCCAAAAACGGAGAAAGGAATTCTATCCTGCACCCAGCCCTGGCTCTGAAATTCTGAACTTGAGCTGGTGGGTGTTATTTCAGGTCAGCCACGGTTCTGAGAAGGCGGGAGGGCCAGTTTCCCCCCCTTCTACTTTAGAAAGTACAACCATCTGAGCCTCCAGGACAGTCATTGCTCCAGGTCAAAACCCTCTCATATGCTCTAGAGATTTCCACTTGCTCGGGGTAGGAAGGAGGGTGGGGGATAACAACTCTGAAGGTTTGCTTTTCTTTTCTTTTTTTCTGAATCAACATTAGCAAAGACTTATTTCATTTATTAGATATTTATTGAGCATCAGACACTGTGCCAGGCAGAACCCTGTCACGGTTCAGGTAGTTTTTAAAAGAGTTTTATTTTGTGGAAAGCAATGAGTGGCTGCATAACAATACGTAAGGTATTTTAAATACGTGCACTCCAGCTGGCTCTAATAGTTTCCTTAGAAGTCATCTGAACTAGACTGTCACTGATAGTTTAAAGATTGTGGATCCCAGAAATTATCAACTACTAGGTTCTGCCCTGAAAACTATCTCAGCTCGCTACTTGGAGCTATAGCTTTTAAAATGTATTAAAACTGTAACCCTTAATAGATCAGAAGCCTGGGAATTCTAATGAGTTTTGAAGTAGAACATATTTTGACTATACAGCCATCCCTATGTTTGAAATGGTACATTTTAAGAAAAGAGTTTTATTTGCTTTTTCCAAAAATTTCAAAATGTCCATGAGGCAGCACATTTTTCAATTTTGAAATATTGAGTTAAATGTAAACCTGAAAAGGAAAAGGAAAGCAACATTTGTTCTGATCTTTGCTCTAAAAATGCCTGAGCCAATTTTATTTTTCAGTTGTTGATTTTTAAAGGAACACTTTCACCAAGAGGTGGCATGTCTAGGAGCTGGGCCCATTAGGTTTGGGTTTTATCAATCTGAAAAAGCATGTAAAGCAGCAACATTTGTAAATTCAGTATTATGATGGTGTATGTAAATTGAATACTTAACTGCAAAACCTCGTTAAATGTTAATAGTCTATGTGTCACATAATATGACAAAAATACAGATTTATGTTCTTCAATCTGTTTTCTCTGATGTCAAGTGAATTGTATTGAAGTCTTATAATACTGGAGATACACTATCGGTACTGAAAAACTGAAGATTTTATATCATCAGCCTATATTTTCTTGATCTTTTTTTGAAATTTATGTTCTTTTGAAATTTATGTTCTCTTGTGTAAATGGTCATTTCTTCCAGTCTGCGTATTGGGTGACAGGATTCAGAGAACAGTTGCTAGGAATACAGGCATGTTTCGTTTTATGGTACTTAACTTTATTGCATTTCATGGGTATTGTGTTTTTTACAAATTGAAGGTTTGAAGCAACCCTGTGTCGATCATCCTTCCATGCCATTTTTTCTAACAGCATTTGTTCACTTCATGTCCCTGTATCCCATTTTGGTAATTCTCACAGTATTTCAAACTTTTGCGTTATCTTTACATTTGTTATAGTTATCTGTGATCAGTGATTTTTTTTTTATGTTACTACTATGCTCATTGAAGACTTAGAAGATGGTTAGTACCTTTAGCAATAAAGTATTTTTAATTAAAGATCTATAATTTTTTTGACTTAGTGGTAAATAATCTGCCTGTAATGCAGGAGATGCAGGTTCAATCCATGGGTCAAGAAGATCCCCTGGAGAAGGAAATGGCAACCCACTTCAGTATTCTTGCCTGGAAAATCCCTTGGATAGGAAAGCCTGGCAGGCTACAGTTCACAGGGTCACGAGTTGGACATGACTTGGAGAATAAACAACAACAATTTTTTTTAAGACATAATGCCATTGCTCATTCACCAGACTACAGTATAAACATAGCTCTGAGAAGCCAAAACATATATCCCCTGCTTTATTGCTGCATTTGCTTCATTTTGGGCTTTCCTTGTGGCTCAGCTGGTAAAGAATCCACCTGCAGTGCAGGAGACCTGGGTTCGATCCCTGGATTGGGAAGAGCCACTGGAGAAGGGAAAAGCTACCCACTCCAGTATTCTGGCCTGGAGAACTCCATGGACTATATAGTTCATGGGGCCACAAAGAGTCAGACACGACTGAACAACTTTCACTTTTGCTTCATTTCAGTGGTCTGGAACTAAATCCCTAATATCTTCAAGGTATGCCGATAACTAAAATGATCAAAAAACAGGTTGCTACTCTCAGTATAAGGCTTACTTCCTTTTCTAGTGGAGTTTTTCTTCCTCCTCTGTCCTTCACATATGTTTTAAAAACAGCCATGTGCATGAGTACATTTAACACACAAATATCACATTCCTTTGCTTTTAAAAATCGGACACTGGGAAATAAGAAACAGTATTAATGGAGCTGTCACTTCCCGGGTAACTGTGAGAGTTACTCTGGAAATCAGGCCCTGATGGTTCTCTAGGTGAAACATTTCTAAATCAAAAGCTGGCCTGGAAAAAAAAAAAAAGCTACTCTGACGATCAGCACCAGGACCAGAAAGCACTTAGGGTCTCCATCAAGGCAGGACTGTATCAGTGACACTGACCAGAAAGGAAGCAGGTGTCTGGGGAAGATGAAAATCAGCCAGAAGCTCTGCAGAGGGGATCCCACGCATCTGAGTTCCCAAGGACAGGGGACCAGCTGCCTGGCAAATAAACATCCATAGAGAGTAGTAGTTCTGTCCTGGGAACATGTGCAAAAAATAAATGACACACATGTTCATGATTAGCCTAGATGAGGGAGTTCTGGCAACCATTTGCAAGGAGGTAGGAAAATCCATGGAAAAAAAATTATTTTAAAGATGTGGGTGTAAATTATAGGAATGCTCAAAACTGGATGAAAAGGTAGGGAAGAGAAAAGATATCAGGACTTGGGTGCCTGTTTGTTAATTCATTTGTTCAATAGACATTTACTGAGCACCTACTAACTCCAGATACTGGTCAAGCTTTGGGGATATGGCCCCTTCCTGAATTGAGCTAACTTTGCATTTATTAAAATCAATGCCTCAAAAAAATAAATAAATTAATTAAATAAAATAAAATAAAATCAATGCCTCCCATTGGTTGTGTTGCTCAAAGAAAAAAGCAATTCATCATTTATTACTAGGTGCTAACTCTGTGCTTTGCTTTAGGAATGGAGTGTCCCTCTGGTCAAGAGAACCAAAGAAATTCCAAATAGAGTTTTGCCCACTGATTCATTCAAATTCAGTCCCCAAAGGCTGTCCAGACTCATCAGTTTTCACATAGAGGAAAATTTACATTTCAAGCCCCTACATTTGCAGTGGGGGTATTAGAAATATTAGCTCATTTAATCTACAAATGACACCTCAAGACTGTTTTTATCACCTTCTCACAGGTGAGGGAAATGATGCTCAGAGATGCTACATTTCTTACTCAAACCATACAGCTGTTTAGTAAGAGAAGTATGTTTTGAATCTAAATTAATCCTCCCAAAGTCTAACTCTCCTCCAGCATTAGAACCCATGGAACTATGTGCAAGGTATTATGTAAATGTAAGTGAGGAATCTTTGTTGGCCATTAGCTCTGAGTTTATTTTAAGTATCAGTTCTTCTAGTGATAAAGTAAAAGACGTGGCTATCATTTCATTATTGTTAATGAAATGATTCCTAGACATCTTCCTCTCATGTGATTTCTTTTCACTTGAATTTTTGATATAGAAATGGGTCAAAAATAACTTATCTTTATCCATAGAAATCTATCATTCCTACCCAAAGATGGCTTGTTCTGAAAAATTTGTGTTCTCAAGCTAATACCTCTGATGTAGACTCTCTGTGTGTTATTCTACTATATTAAAGACTGGGTTCCTTCTAATTAAGTCACTCCTCCAAAAAGAACTCAAATGGAATGAAAACCTCAGAATCATTTCCAACTGCTTACCAATTGCAACCCCACTAAGTAAATTTTCTTTATCATCACCTTCTGTAATTCTCAGAATAGTTAAGTGTCATCTGAATGCCAAGTAGCATTCTTGGGACAGAAGGGATCTTTGCAATTTACTTATCAACTGTAGAAAAATACAAGTGAATCTTTGGAACCGGGAAAATACTGTGGATGTGGGAGGTTTCTCAGCACATTGATCAGTGGAGCAGGTAGTGATGACAGCGTCACTCAAATGAGAAGCTCTGTAACACTTATTCCATTATTTCCTTTTTCTGAGGAGGTTGGAATCAACCAAGCTGGTAGAATCAACTGTAGAGATTTTCATTTTATGGAATGAATGGTTTATTAAGGAGAACCCAAACTTCCATATTGTTCATGGGGTTCTCAAGGCAAGAATACTGAAGTGGTTTGCCATTCTCTTCTCCAGTGGACCACATTCTGTCAGACCTCTCCACCATGACCTGTCCGTCTTGGGTGGCCCTACACGGCATGGCTTAGTGTCATTGAGTTAGACAAGGCTGTGGTCCGTGTGATCAGATTGGCTAGTTTTCTGTGATTGTGGTTTCCTTGTGTCTGCCCTCTGATGCCCTCTTGCAACACCTACCATCTTACTTGGGTTTCTCTTACCTTGAAAGTGGGGTATTTCTTTATGACTGCTCCAGCAAAGCACAGCCGCTGCTCCTTACCTTGGACGAAAGGTATCTCCTCACAGTCACCCCTCCTGACGTTGAAGGTGGAGTAGCTCCTCTCGGCCCTCCTGCACCCATGCAGCCTCAGTTCCTTGGATGTGGGGTTGCTCCTCTCAGCCTCTGCCCCTGACCTCGGGTGTGGGGTAGTTCGTCTCGGCTGCCACCCCTGACCTCGGCCATGAAATTAAAAGATGCTTACTCCTTGGAAGGAAAGTTATGACCAACCTAGATAGCATATTTAAAAGCAGAGATATTACTTTGCCAACAAA